GCAAATAAAATATGCAATTGAACGTCATCTGCATTGGTAAGAAATATCTTTAAAGCTGTTTATTATGCGACCAAGTGGAAGCAAGTACAAGGTGAAAAGTATTGGGCCTAGGACAGAACCTTGGGGAACTCCACAAGCCTTGGATGAATGTGAGGAAGTGTTATTGTCAACTGTAACTGAGAATTACCTGTCGGCCAGGTAAGAGGAGAACCAGTCTATAGCTGAACCAGAAATACCCAGCAGTACTTCAGAGGTACCATTGAGCAAGGCACTGAACCCCCAACAGCTCAGGAGCTCACACACACTCTCATCTCTCCATGGATGCATGTCCCTAGGATCCTGATCCAACATGTAACACAGAACAGAAATCAGGACCTTATCACTTTAAACAGCTTCTTACTGAATCAGTGTGTTTGATTGTGATTGTCTTGCAGCACAGCTTCCTGCCTCCTTGTCATTACTGCTCATTAAAAATACAGCAGTTGTTGCTCTTGTACACAAGGCGCCTGCAGCCACAATCACAAAACACAGCACGATGATGGATATCCCGTCAGAGCACTGGCATGTGTTCTCAGACGGAAAAGAAACAGTAGAATCCTGTAATATTATGTGGCATCACTTACTAATACACAAAAGTCTGTGTTACAGAAATAGAGAACAGAACTAGGAAACCAGTCGTCAGTTCTTCATTTGTTCCCTTAGAATTACACACCATTCTGTGTACCATACTGAGAAGTTACAGATCATGTTAAATACATGAAACGTTTGCAGAATTGACTTTCCACTTTTGATATTGATGCATGCAGGTGTGCTCAAATAAAGTCTCAGATGCCTGTATGTCTCTGCGGCACAGGTACAGCGCTGTAACAAAAATGATTCCTTACATCTGAGAAGCCAGAGGCTGAAGGGAGCTCAGACAAACTGAAATGACAGAAAGGGAGCAGTCAAGCTACAAAAACATAGAAGATGGGCAGAGAAGGAGCTTTCAAACAATGCTGCTTGATAATTGCAGGAGGCAGACATGGCTGGTGCTGCTATCTTGATAAAATGACACTGTAGTGAGTGAGCCTGCTGGGACCAATAACGAGTTATCTCTAGTCTATCAGGAGAGAGCGAGATAGAAAAATCAGGGCGAGAGAATTGCCTACAATTCATGTTTGTTCTCCTACACTGTGTTTTGCCGAAGTTGTATCAAGGTGGCTTGCTGCAAATTAGTTTTTCTAAAGATGTGTATTGAAAACAACAGCAACCACAACTATAAATGTGCATGTGGGAAGAGAGCAGAACAGATTGTATCCTCAGTGGACCGGTTGGCTCTCTACGCAAACTGGAACAGGTCTAGGGGTTGTGAGGAGTCTGGATTTTATGTGGGCATGACTAGCCTTTCAAACCACTTCATGAGGACGGGGGTTAGTGTGGCAGGGTGATAGTCATTGAGACACGATGGAGAGGACTTCTTTGGCACAGGTATGATGATGGTGGCTTTAAAACCACAAAGAAACAGCCCGCCTCAGAGGCGTGAAAGATTACATCTACTCTGCGCAGTCCACACAACCAAGAATGTGGACCAGACCTGCAGCCTTGTAGGTGTTGATGGTGGAGAGTGTTTTCTTCTCGCTAAATGCAGACAAGGACAACACCTGGTCATGAGGAGGAGGAGGATGGATCTTCTGTGGCAGCCTTTTTGCTTTGCGTTTCAAACCTTGCAAAAAACCTGTTGAGGTTGTACAGCAGAGGGGACGTCGCTGTCGCAGGTCTGTGGCAAAGGTTTGTATAGTCCGTGATGGTCTGGATGCCCTGCCACAGGCTCTGTGTCTCTGCTGTCTTTGAAGTGGCAGGTTATTGGTCGGTGCATCAAAATATCAAATAGTAGAGAAAAAAAACACATAGCGCAGAGGAACATTTTGAGAGAGGATGTTTCAGAAGCGTACAGAAATTAAAGGGTTAAAAACATGACGCCAATGCCGAAGTGAAAACTGCACTGAAACTGCAGTTCCTCAAGTGTCCATTTCAGGCTGGTTGCAAAATCAAAGCGATCCCCTCAAATGCACATCTACTGCCAAATTAAATGTTTACAGTCGCTTGAAAAAACAAGTTTAGCTCATTCATTTATTGGTACACACATAGTTGCATAATTAGGGGCGTGGTTAACCAGTAAGGCGATGAAAACTGGAGGGGCAGTCAGGTCCATAAATAGTAGTAGGGATCAGGGTACCTTGTTCTAGTATTGAAGAGAACCAAATCCTCAAGTGAAATTAAAATTCAACCCACTTCATAAAACATATGCACATGAGAGGATTAAGTCTAGAAATGACCCAATATTGGGAACATATAGGACTTAAAAATGTATGTGTTAGATTAGAGCTGAAGTTCTCCAAGTTGCTATGGATTCTTTGCGCTGTGCATATTTTGCAAGATAACCAAGTGCCATCAAATGAGCATCTATATCAGTCTGAAATTTACCGTAATTTCCAGACTATAAGCCGCTACTTTTTTCCCACGCTTTGAACCTCGCGGCTTAAACAATGACGCGGCTAATTTATGGATTTTTCCCGCTTTCACAAGCTTCATGCCGCCAAAAAACTGAGCAAAAAACACATTATGTGACGGTGCTCAGTTTTTTGGCGGCATGAAGCTTTCATTAGACCAATGAAATAGCCGAACGGGTTAAGGTGAAACAATGTAACTGTTTAGTTTACTGTTTAGATTAAATCGAACGCGCTCAAACTTCCCATCATTCTGATTACGGTAGTCATTTCGTCACCCTCATCATGGCAAAGACACAAAGAAATGCATATGATGCAGCGTTCAAGTCAAAGGCGATCGATCTGGCTGTTGGAAAAGGAAATAGAGCTGCTGCACGGGAGCTTGGCCTTAATGAGTCGATGGTAAGACGTTGGAAACAGCAGTGTGAGGAACTGACTCAGTGCAAAAAGACAACAAAAGCTTTCAGAGGGAAGAAAAGCAGATGGCCCGAACTAGAAAATGAGCTTGAAGACTGGGTCAACACACAGAGAGCAGACGGCCGAGGTGTTTCAACTGTGCAGATCCGACTGAAAGCCAAAACAATCGCCACCGCAATGGAGTCTGAGGATTTTAGAGGTGGACCATCGTGGTGTTTCAGATTTATGAGACGTAAAGGCCTGTCCATCAGGGTACGGACGAGTCTGTGTCAGCAGCTCCCTCCCGACTACGAGGAAAAAGTTTCAAACTTCTGCAAATTCACTGACGCAAAGATAGCGGAGCATTCCATCGGCCCGCACGGCATCATGAATGTGGATGAGGTTCCTCTGACGTTTGACCTGCCTCTCACTCATCCGTCACACTGAAAACAACTGGGCATGAAAAAACGCACTTCACCTGTGTTCTGAGCTGCACGGCATCGGGAGAAAAGCTTCCACCGATGGTGATTTTTAAACGCACGACGATGCCAAAAGAAAAATTCCCCGAGAGAAATTGTTGTGAAAGTCAACAAGAAAGGATGGATGACGGAAAGCCTAATGCATGAATGGCATACGGAGTGTTACGGCAAGCGAGCGGGAGGATTCTTTCACAGGAACAAGGCATTGCTCGTTTTGGACAGCATGAGGGCCCACATAACAGTTTCTGTGAAAGAAGCCATCAAGAGGACAAACTCAATTCCAGCTGTGATTCCTGGGGGCACAACAAAGTATTTGCAGCCACTCGACATCAGCGTAACTCGTGCATTTAAGGTGGCGCTCCGAGTTCAGTGGGAGGCTTGGATGACAAGTGGGGAGAAATCCTTCACTAAAACGGGCCGCATGCGAAGAGCAACTTATGGTCAAGTCTGCCAGTGGGTCCTGACAGTGTGGAGCATTGTCAAAAAAATCCACTATCATCAACGGGTTTCGAAAGGCTGGACTGCTGCGTGTTGAAGAGGGCATTTTTGTTACAAGCTGTGTTTCGTTAAAGCCTGTGTAAAGTGCATTTGTTTCTATGTACCGGTAGGCACCTGCGGCTTATAGACATGTGCGGCTTATTTATGTTCAAAATACTTATTTTTAAAAAATTCAGTGGGCGCGGCTTATATTCAGGTGCGCTTAATAGTCCGGAAATTACGGTAAATTTGTGTGAAGATTTACATGAATGTTATGTACAGTGAAAGAACAAAACATGGGGTATAATGATGTTCTGTGCCTTGCTCAAGGGCACCTCTGCAGACCTCTCCAGGATCCAGATCAATTTCTATACACATTGGACCGTACCGGTACTTAAACCAGCAACCCTCTGGTACCCACCCCAGGTCATTGTATTTGATGCTGAGAAGGCTTCTGACCGGATAGAGTTGGAGGATTTATTTGCAGCCCTTCAGAAATTCTGTCTTGGTGATTTAGTTCCTGATTTATATTAAAATGCACAAATTGTTTTAAAATTAATATTTCCCCATCCCGTCCATGAAATTAAACCAAAAAAAATGTTAGCAGGTGCAGTTTTAACAAAACTGATGTTCATATTCAAAGCAAATTTATTACTATCCATGAATTGTGTGTATTCCTGCCACAGCAGGCATGTGCTTGTTTAGAGAGAACTCTATCGCCATCTAGTGGCCGCAGCAAGGTAATTTTCAGGGCTCTTGAAATAAAGCGGCTCAGTAGAGTCAAGCAATATCATAGGAGTTTTTAGAGAAAAAGAACAGAGAGAAACCTTGAGGTACACCACAGGTAATTCAGAAATGGTTACCTCAAAGGTTCTGTCTGAAAGATAGGAATAAAACCAACTAAGCACAGAGCCCCTTGACACCAACATAGGACTCTAGGCGTTCAATTAAAATGATGATGACGCATGATCTACTGTGTCAAATGCACTCAAATCTAAAATAATTAAAATTGCGCTCTCTCCTCTGTCAGTAGATAAAAGAAGGTCATTTGTTACTCTGAGGAGGGATGTTTCTGTACGATGGAGTCCTCTTAAACCAGACTGAAACTTCTCAAAGAGGTCATTGTCATTCATAAAAGCTAAAATCTGACATTAGGCTGTGATCATCCATGACATATTTAATGATCAATCAAACATTAAATCATTCGCTTGGTATACATTCTCTACATATTTTTTAGTTAACTTGAAGCAAAGCTGTTGTTATTTATCTCTTCATCGCAGCTCAGGTTAGTCCTGAAGAACTCCTGGATCTTCTTCCACATGTGGACCTCAGCGGCTGCATGGGACCTGGCCTCACCGCCCCACTGGATACGTTGACCCCAAAGCCCATGAAAACTGGAGGGGCAGTAGGGTCCATAAGGCGGCTCCAGGTAGTGCCCCGCTCGAGGGTAACACATGCTCTCAAAGTTGTCCTTCCCATGATGCTTCAGCCTCTCCACCATCATGTCCATACAAGTCTTGCTGTCCCAGTTCATGTCTTCCTCTGAAGAAAGAAAGAGGAACGGTCCCTTTGCCTTCTCGATGGGAATCAGAGAAGCTTTGTTCTCCTCTAGTAGGGGATTATTCATCGCATACTTGCCAATGCTGGCCCCCGATTCAGAAGGTATTATCCTGCCTGTATCGAACAGTAATGCAGGGTGAAGAAGGCTCTTCTTGTAGTAGAGAGGGAAAATTGTATTTGCAGAGTGGCCGTTGATCCACACCGTGGCCTCAACACCTGAGAGGTAAGTAGCTGCTGAAAGTGCAAGGTCTCCACTTTTTGAAAGAGAGATGATACCAATTCCTTTACCGCCCACCTGCGGAGGAAGGTACAAACTATTAGCTGATTTTAACCTTTTTTTGACATGTCACTGACTATTGATAAGATAAGATAAGATAATCCTTTATTTATCCCACAACGGGGAAATTTACATTGTTACAGCAGCAAAGAGCAAAGACTGCAAACAAAAAGTGAACACAGTACAATTTAAAGAAAAAATTAAGAATGTACAAAAAAATAGATAGATACCACAATATAGAATTTAAAAAGTAGATTAAAACAAATAGATCAGCTGAGCTTCAGTTTTGACAAAATTTAAGCCAGAACTTGAAATTAATTCATAGACAATGTTAGCATCTCATTGGTGTGTATATTGTATATTATATATTGTATATTGTATACTGTATATTGGTGTGAGTGAAAAATGACACATTGGTAGAAAAAGCAAACAAGCAAACGTGTCCTAAAAATTTGGACTAGTCAATTAAAATAACTCACCTTGTCGTGTTTCCTTAAGAACTCAATCACTTCTTCAAAATAATCCAGATGAATCTCTTTAATGTCTTTTGGCATGTCGTCATGGCCGTACAGGGCGACGGTCAGAACCAAAAACCCTTTGTTTGCCAGCAGAGAGGCTCTCTTCTCTGACAAACCTCCACCAAACGTGTACAGATCCAACACAGCGGGGAACGGGCCGTCACCTGGATGAAGAAACAAAAAAATACACCCGTTTTAGATCACTGGAATAGTG